GGGAACCGGCAATTCCTTGCAATGGTAACCTCTGGTTCCCAGGTTGGGAACCGTAAGTTTCAAGGTCTGGGAACCGGCAGTTCCTTGCCATGGTAACCTTTTGTTCGCACGTTGGGAACCATCAGTTCCAACCTTTTCTATCTGGGGTCTATGCCGGTGTAATTTTAAATGTTTTTAGACAAGTTAGAATGAGCTATGGTCTGGATGACATAAATTTACCAAAGAACATAAAACATCATTTGCCAGGGTTGTGCTTCATCGAGGCGAGATGAAGCGCAACCCAGCGCTTGGGAGCGCAACCAGCGCCATTGCTGTGCGATAAATGACCTTGGTTGTGCTCCCAAGCACTAGGTTGTGCTTCATCGAGGCGAGATGAAGCGCAACCCTGAAAAAATGATGTTTTATGTTCTTTGGTATATTCTAATTAGATACGTGCCATACAAATGATACGATGTTAACATTTATGTTCATTTTGCCTTGATGATGTTACATTGATCATTGGGGGCGTGAGGTGGGGGTCGGATGTGATTTCATGCTCTTGCAGAGGAGCCATGCAATTTCCCATGAAAACAGTGCACATACAGTTTGGGACAATGACCCAAGTCTTGGACAAAAGTGGGCCTGTTTACACAAAGCACAAACTTGGCATATGGCAATTCCAGGGACCCCATACAGGTGGCCCCCGGAATCTCGCGCTTCACAACTCTGGCACCTCGCGGTCGGGTTGATGTCTCTGAAGGTGGCCGCTGCTTGCATCCGCTCGGTCTGAGACGATACTCACACACATGCTCAAACAACTTGTCCACACATAACTTACTCACACACATGCTCACACAACTTGTCCACACACAACTTGTCCACGCACAACTTGTCCTCACACAACTTGCTCACACACAACTTACTCACACACACAACAACCACACACTTTGTCCACACACACACACACACCTCACATACGTCTACACATGCAACTTGTCCACACACACCGCTGTTTGCGTAGCAGGCGTGGCGCTTGGCGACATCGAGCGTCGCTTTGCGTGGCAGGCGTGGCACTTGGCGACATGGACCTTCACTTTGCGTGGCAGGCGCGGCACTTCTGGCACTGGACTGGCTCTGGTGGCGCGCTTGGGTTACTTGGCGACATCGAGCGTCGCTTTGCGTGGCAGGCGTGGCACTTGGCGACACCTCCACTTTGTGTGGCCGGCGTGGCACGTATGGCACTGGGCTGGCTCTGGTGGCGCGCTTGGGGTGGATTTGGCGCCGTGGACGCCGCTGGGGTATTCACACCACTTTGTGACACACCATGTTTCACACACTATCTTTCACACACCATCTTTGACACACCATCTTTCATACAACTTTGTCACACACCATCTTTCACACACAACTTTGTCACACCCTCTCTTTCACACACAACTTTGACACACACACACTACCTTTCACACACCACTTTGTCACACACACCATCTTTGACACATGATCTTTCACACACCACTTTGTCACACACCATCTTTCACACACAATCTTTGACACACCATCTTACAAACAACTTTGTCACACACCGTCTCTCACACACCATCTTTCACACACCATCTTTGACACACCATCTTTGACACACCATCTTTCACACCACTTCGCCACACACCATCTTTCACACACCGTCACAGACCATCTTTCACACACCACTTTGTCACACACCATCTTTGACACATGATCTTTCACACACCGCTTTGTCACACACCATCTTTCACACACAATCTTTGACACACCATCTTACACACACCATCTTTCACCACACCATCTTTCACACACATAACTTTTTCACAAACCATTTTTCTTCCACCTCCTCCTTTGTCTTTCCTTCCTTCCCCGTCCCCGCTGCAAAATTTGTTGATCATTATTGGAAGAAGTTGACTTGTGGGGTTATGCGGTCCCTTAACTTTCTTCTCAATTCGGTGCTCTATGCGCATCACAGACACGCAGCTGAGCTCCATGCTCCAACTGGAATACTTTACGAGACTATTCGATGTTCTTCACAGGTCATGGACAATGCTCATGTTAGATAAGAAAACAATAGCAGTATGTCCCTTCGCAGCGACACTTATCGCTGAGCCGCAAGCCTTTTAATAGTTCCCACGAAACACAAGGACGGTTTCGTCTCCTGCAATTGTTGATGTTGTTTTTGCTTCAGACATCTTCACGCACTTAGCCGCATGAAGGTTACATCCATAAAGACCTACACGCAAAGTGCCTCAACCGAGCGTTGATCGGTTGAGGCACCTTGGCCCCTCTAATTCACATAGGTTGCCAACAAACTGACTAACATTATCTTGCTTGTGGTTCTTATTACTGACTATGGCACGGGGTGGGTGGAATTTAGATATTGAGACAAGATGCATGCAGGAAGTTGTTGATGCCGGGGAAGTTCGGATATTGCAACAGCAAAAGCGTAAGAAGTGGCGGAGAGGCCAATAGGGGAAGTCTACGTATGAAACGAAATGGATGCAGGAAATTGAGAGGCACCTAGGGGGAAGGGAAAGTTCCACCTACCTTTCGTCCTCCCCCTCACAAGTTCAGATGTCGCTTCGCCGCTTCGCTTCACTACACTACACTACGTTACATTACACCACACTCCACTATACTACACTACATTACACTACACTACACTCCACAACACTACAACTACAACTACACAACTAGACTACACTCCACTACACTCCACTACATTAAATTTCACTACACTACACTACATTACACTACACTACGCTCCACTACACTACACTACATTAAATTACACTACAGTCCACTACACTACATTACACTACACTTCGCTCCACAACACTACAACTACAACTACACAACTACACTCCACTACACTCCACTACACTAAATTACACTACACTACATTACACTACACTACACTACACTCCACGACACTACACTACACTCCACTACACTACACTACATTACACTACACTACATTACACTACACTTCACTACATTACAATTACACTACACTCCACTACACTACAAGTACAACTACGACTACACAACTACACTCCACTACACGAAATTACACCACACTACACTACATTACACTACACTACACTACATTCCACTACACTCCACTACACTACACTACGTTACACTACACTACAATACACTGAATGACACTGCAGCACAGATAGACAGGTAGACAGATAGACAGATAGACAGATAGATAGATAGATCGATAGATAGACAGGTAGACAGCTAGACAGATAGACAGATGAAAGAGAGAGAGAGAGACACAGAGAGAGAGAGAGAGATAGATAGATAGGTAGATAGGTAGATAGGTAGATAGGTAGATAGGTAGATAGGTAGATAGGTAGATACGTAATTAGATGAAAGAGAAAAAGAGAGAGATAGATAGCTAGATAAATAGATAGATAGATAGATAGATAGATAGATAGATACATAGAAGATAGATAGGTAGGTAGATGTCAGAGAAAGAGAGAGACAGAGAGGAGACCTCAAGCACCTTTCGGTCCATCAGTGGATTCGCTCTGCCATCCCTGATTCACAACAGCCAAGCTCTCCTATAGCTTTCCTATTTTTGAAACTTCCGCCACCGCCTTGCGCGGTACTACTGGTACCGTATACCCATGTAAGATTTAAATGAGAATCATACCTTATGATTTTCCTTGCCCTTGAAATCTCAATGTGAATGCGAAGTCACCTGCATTGCAAGGGGCTCACTGGTGGACATGTTCAGGTCACCCTTGTTGGCGAGCTTTTGCGATCCGCCACTGGAGAACTGACATTGCAGCCCCTCAGTCAAGAGCAGGCGGGGGAAGCAGAGCACAAAGATGACCGACTCCGTCTCCAAAGCTCCACTTTAAAGATCTTCAAACCCTCATGAATTGACTCATGAATGTTAAAACTATGTGAAAACGAGAAAGTGGTTTGATAATCTTTGATAGTTGCGCTTGGTCATCTTGGCCCGAAATTGGCCGAAAGGTCTCGTGGAAAAGAAACTCGTGGGAAAAGACTGGCCTTGCAGAGGCAGGTGATTTGGAGCTCCTGGAGGCCAGAAGTGGAATGGGAGAGTAACTTTGAGAAGCAAATTCCTTAAGCATCCTTAAGCATCTTTCAAAGATCCTTGTGCTTGAACCATTTGGTCCAACTTCAAGTCTAACTCTTGAGTTGAAACGGGTTGAAAGGATTTTGATTTAGTATACTTTTAAACCCTTTGGAGCCTAACATTCGCTGTGGAAACTCAACAAATACAGACTACCCAGTGTATCATCAAAACACATCAAAACATCAAGCACATTCCATCCATTTCAAAATTCATTCCCATCGGGTTTGCAGGCCAGGACCCATGTCCTGATCAGCGATGACCCAACACTTCTGGGCTGTGGCAGACCTAGTCAAACTAGAATTACAGCAAATTCACAGGCGGACAGACACCAATCCAGAACAAACACGAAGAGCAAAAAAAAAACGGACATGCTGTGCCACCAGCTTTTGAATCTTTTGAGTGCCTTGTGACAACTTGTGGATACTTGTGGTGTAGTATTCTTCCCGCTGAAGCTTCGCATATGTTGACCTGCTGTGCCCTCCGGGGGTCCAAGATATGGTGGGGAACGTTTCGTTTATATTATATATATGATTATATATGCTTATGTACATATGCATACACACACACACACATATATATATATGCATATGTATATGCATTTCCCGTCGAGCCTGAAGAAATGTCACTAAGGCTGCCTCGAGCGGACTGAGCGTTGAAATTAAACCGTGGACACGGTTCAGCTGATTGGCCCGCTTGTATTTGTCTCATTTTGTGTCCATGAGTTGCACAGAAGTGCACTGGCACTGACGCAGTTCAGCAAACTGCCGGAAAATAAGGAAGAACAGACCTCCAACTGAAATCAGAAAAGCAGGCAATTATATAACTGTATATCCAAGAGTTAGCAAACAGCAAATAGGTGGAAATAGGTGGAAATAGTATGCCGATTGCAAGTGCTTGGCCTGCACAGGTGGAACAAAGAGCAGGGCTAAAAATTCGTACGCTGGAGGACCAGCAGGGGCTTTGGGTGTGTGACAATGTTCACAAGGACTTTTTAGAGTTCGTATTGTGATGATTTGATGCCCCAAAAAACAAACTTGAAGACCGTCGCATCCCTTGCAGGAACAGATTGCGCAGCAACAGAAGCTGCAGAAACATTTGGCTTTGCGGCACACAATGGTGACCCTGGCCCAAAGTTTCACTCTGCCAGCAACAATGTCTGTACATGTATATTGTATACATATAATGTTATACATAAATTTCATTAGTGAATAAGATATGTACATGTATATCATGTATATACGTATATATATATACATGTATGTGTGTGTATATATATATTATAGAGTATACACATGCACATTTGTTACATTTTTTCCTGCCAATTTTCAGGCATTTTGGCCAGGTTGCGAAGCGCAACGTCGATGGACTTCCGGAACTGCCGCTTGCGCGCTGGGAGGACGCGCCGTGACGGTGCCGTGTAGACGGTGGAGTTGGGAGTTAAACCTCTGGCATTCCATTCATTCCATATCCGTCGAAGCAGTGATGTTGAACTAGCATATGCAGCATATCAGATTCCATCAGATTCCTATTCTACCAGCATCTAAGGCCTGATGTTGATTTTTGTTAGATCACAAATCATCCAGAGAAACACACTGTGTCATGTGCATATCTCATTGCTCATGGTTTCTGTAAAGATCCTTTGCCCTTCGCTGCTGGCACTTGTGCCACCCAAGAGATCCCATGGTACACTCTGCAAAGAAAAGCGTGAATTGATGGTGGGTCTTATTTTAAGTCGAAAAAAGGAGTCACGCCTCTGAGCATGTTTGCACGAAGGACATTGAAGGTGTCTTCAAGAATGCACATACACAGATACCTGCTGAGCTTTAAATGCATAGCATTTCTTCTCACCAAGAGTCTTGAACGCGCATTGCAAAGAAGAGCAACACCCTGCCGAGTTGACCTGCACTATCAGGAGCAGCTGTCATCCGCTCCAGTTGGGGTATGACACTCAAGCTTGTGGCATGTAACGTTGCAAGACATTGAATTTCCACATTGCAATTGCATGTGTTAACTGTTAACATCTGTTAACTGATATACTTCCATATACTTCCATATACTTCCTGTCTTTCTCAAGGCTTCTCCATATCCAATGGCACCACCTGTGTCATCAGTGGTGGTGTGGGCCCCAGCGGCGCAGCGGTGCTGCACTTTCTGTATGGCAACTTGCAGGCACCTGTAGCTTCCTCGTCGCCAACATACCGAATCACCTGAGCCCGCCTTTCAATGTGGAACATGCATGAACATGCAACCGTTAATGCGACGTGTTTTATGATACATCTATGTCAATGAACTCTGCTGAACCCCCTTGAAGGGGGGTTCTCAGCCAGGCAGGATAATGAAGAGGTGGAAAACATGACAGCTCGATTCAGGCTTGAAAAAAGTGCTTCGCATTGCGCTTTAGGACGTTTCCTTCAGTATGGCTTGAGTCATTCAGCATAAGTGGAGGAGAGTCTTGGGCTGGATCTTACATGTGTTGATTTGACAGCTGTAGCATGTGCTGCCGCCAGCTGCAGATTCAATCCTTTCCTGACTAACATACCTCTTTTCTCATGCTTTGACAGCATAGCTGCTACCAACATCCAATTCTTTTTCTATTCTTCAAGGACAAAGAATATGCTTCAAACCGGAATGGATGCTGTAGAAGTTTGTTGCAATCTATATCGATTTAATGTAATATCAGACATATCATATTACATTTGGATGTTCTGCTCTTGACAGCAGATGGGCTTCGTTGCCATGGCGGAAGACTCACACTCGGATGGTTACCTCATTTGTAGCATCAGAGCAAGTAATAGTGATCAGATTTGTACAACATCCAAATAAGAGCTGGTACAAATTCAAACATGTGGCTCATTTGAATTTTGCGGGCATCGCGGCCTTGAAACATGTTGCACATTATTGCACCATGTTCTTTTTCAGGATCACTACCACCTTGGACTTCCAGAGTTCTGGTTGCTCCTTGCCTTTGTCAACGCCCAAGTGCCTTCCGAGCTATCAGATTCATCAGATGTGACGAACTCGCAAAGACACGTGCAGATCTTGCCACAAGGTTTGGCTCGCTGCCTACTTTGTGGCAAGGCGAGCATGTTCTGCCTCTTGTTTGACTTCAGAACTCTTTACACTTCATGATCGTGATTGCCATGACTGACTTCACAACAGGTTCAACGCCAGCCTGGTGTTTCTGCTTCAGGTGCCTGTGTTAGGGTATTCTAGGGCTGCAATGGGCTGTAGAAGCTCAGCAACTCCGGTGCTTTCAGGTTGCAGGCCGAGTCGTCGAGTTGACGCAAGACTCTGAGATCTTTGCAGAGGCAAAGCTGTTTGAGTAACCAGAAAACTTCACAGATCGTGATTTCCGGAATCTTCTCGAAGCGGTGTGGATTCTACCTCAAAACTATCCAACAGGAAGATCCACCTTGATGATTACCAGGGAATGTTGAAAGAAAATGTCAGATGCTGCGAGTTGGCAAACTGAGGTGGCTTTACAGTCCCCTGGTCCCACTTCTTCTGCTGGCCAAAGTTGCGGAAGCTTGGCATCGAGCATGTCCCCGCAGTCTTGTTCATGTCAGGCTTCAAATATCCCGGCAGGATTGAAATTCATGTTGAAGGCCTTGTCAGCTTGTCAGCTTTGCCTTTCTCTGGCACGGCTTGAGGACTCTTTGGGGCTGCCAGTTTGCGCAGCCCGTCAAAAGTCAGATGCTAAGACTGCCGAGAGATGTTCATTGTAAGGGCTTCACGCAACTAGAGAGGTGGGAAGTAGCAGGAAATGTGGACGTATGACTCAAACAGCTGGGTGGTTGAGAGCCTATTGATTTCTGCCACTTTTCTGGAACCATCATTTGATTCACTTTTTCGTGATACTAAACGCATCTAAATGCATGGAAACTGGTGCGGGGCTGAGCGTCCATGCGGTTTGTCCAATGTCAAGGCTCCCAAGGCAGGTTTTGTTTGCCAAGGCGCTTGGAGATCACTTGGGTGTGAGACCTAATTAAGTGGTGTAAGCGATTGGAACAGTGTTGGCCGTTTGTGGAACATGAAGAACCGAAACATCATGAAACGTCTGTTTTCTATAAGTTTCTTTGTTCACTGCGTTGGATTAGAAAGTAGCTTCCTGCCGCATTCTCCATTTGTGTGTAGTGTGGTGTGTGCATACTTGTATCATCGTGTTGAAGGTTGATCGCTGGTGGGAAGTGACCCTTCGAAAGGTTGAATACTCAGATCTGAGGGTTGTGGGCTAGAGCAGTTGCACATAGAGGTAGTAAAATGTTGCTTGACAAATGCAGGCATGCTTCAATGTGCATGGCCAAAGGTCCAACGGAGCGGACCAGTCTTTGTAAAGTTGGGGGCCGCAAGATTTGTGGATTCCAAATCAGACAACTTGTCGATGCAATTCTGTGAAGAGGAAGCAGTGCATTGCTTTCCATTTTAGCCTAAGCAGGTTCGTGGCCGTGTTTTGCCTACAGGGTATACGCTTGTACCCGCCGAAGGGAAAAAAGAAAGAACTGCAGTATTATTTTCTTATTTTCATTGTTTTTACCGCAGATGTTGGTACCGTCTTTACCGCGGATGTTCGTGAAACCTTCGATTGTTACCGTTTTTACCGCAATTTTTTGGCCGTCTTTACCACTGATGTGATTAGTTTTTTTTTGGCATGGGTATACACCTTCAGGAAGAACAGGGAAATGGCTGGCAATTTTTTAGGTTTCAAACCGAAAGGGACAGTAGCTTTTATAGCTTTTACGGATAAGTTGAAATACATGGATAGAATTGAAACACAAGAAAGGTGTGTGACTGGAAACGAAAGGATAGACTTGAAACGAAGGTCACGACTCGCAACAGAAAAAATGAATTGAACAGATAGGACGGACAGGACACGCAAGGGGCCAGAAAAGATTCCGTTGGCTTGGCACCAACCCTCACCACTCCTTACAATTCGACACCTGTGGGATTCGAACCCTCGCGGGGAGACACAACCCCAATAAAAAGGAAACAAAAGGCTGAACCTGAGATACCAAAAGTTTGCAAATTGTTTCAGTGTGATCTGAAAAGTAACACTGGCATGAAAAACAAAATTTTCCGATATAGAAAATACACTACTTGAAGTTCGCGCGGTGGTGCAGCAATGATACTGGAAGTTCCCATGCACTGGTACGCATGCTTGATGCCACAATAGTTGCAGTTCATGTGCAGTAACGCACACACACACACTTGATGCTACCCTACTCGAAGCTCATGTGCGCTGGCGCACTCCATGCTGCACTACTTGAAGTTCACATGCTCACATGCACTGGTACACTTGATGCTACGGCAATTATATGCTATAAGTTACGGTGTTTGAACTCATGTGCAGTGGCAAGCAAATTTGATGCTACGGTACTTGAGATTCATGTGCATGGCAAACTTGACACTACGGTACGTGAAGTTCATGTGCGCTGGCACACAAACTTGATGCTGCATTACTTGAAGTTCCTGTGCAGTGGCACAGCAACTTGATGCTACGCTACTTAGAAGTTTATGTACGCCGGTACACTTGATGGTATCAGTGGCACGTATATATATATATATATTTGTTGCAGATCTGCCTGCAGGTCAGTAGACGTCACGCGAATCTTCAGATAGACGATCGCATGCGGGGGTATTTCGTTTCAAAGAATATGTTTGAAACGATTCAGAGAGTATTCTTTTTCAAGGGGAAAGGCATTGTTCATGTTCCCTGTACTGTACAACAGCTAAAACGACTCAATTTTGCTTCGATTTTGACCACCGTGCACTGGTAAATTGGTATTTTTCCTTTTTGTTACCGGTTTCACCGTAAAAAAAAGTAAAAACGGTAAAAACAACTTCACTGTACCTTTGCGAGCAGTTATAAAAAAATACCGTTTTTACCGCGGATGTGTCTGAGAGAAAGAAACCCCGCAAGTGGAAACACAGCGCTTAACCACCACAGCATTTTAGCCGAAACGAAGGCTGGGCCAGTGGGCTGCGACAAGACCGGACCTGATTCCAGAGGATCACAGTGCACCCACTTCACTTGGCAGATGTGCACCTGCATGTGGATGGACTGTTTTCCATAGTTTTTCCATGGGCACACTCCCCTGTGTATCCTGGGCAGATCTTGGCGTGTATGATGTTCACAGGACATTTGCCATAACCTTGGCCGGCTTCATGATGCGACTGAGCCGCATACATTGGAGCACACTCACAAGGTCGGTGTGCAAAAGCTGCACTGGGCAATGGGACCGCAATAGCAAACCGCAAACAAAAACATCAGAAACTAAGCTTGGGAATGCCCTTCTTGGCCTATGGCCTGACAGCGTTGCTTTATAGCTGAGTTTCGTGTAGGTTCTGCGTGAAGCGTTTCGAGAGCCGCAGGGCACCCCAGTGCTTGCTTACTTTGGTTTGATTGATACCCTTGTCATCCCTTTTCAATATGCAAACAGTTCCCTAATTGCAAAGACTACAGTAAAGCCTGGCTCGTGGCGCACGCTTTGATTGTGATATCTTGATTCATAAAATTCATAACCATTGATGAAACTGCAGTTTTGTCAAATTCAATTTGTGGCTTGTCAGGCTAAATCGCTGCCCAGATCATGGAGGGTGTCAAAAATTCTTCATCATATTGTAGTCTTGGATAGTCATTTAATGAATATCGCTTTCTACTTGTGAAAGCACGCGCATTGCAATCAGGTGGTTTAGAACTTTCTTGATTGAGCCTGAATCCATAGGACCGCTTGGGATTTTCAGCCCTGCAGCTATCAAGCAAGCATTCTGCACCACTGGCATGACCCAAATGTGACCCGTTTGTCAGGATCAGGGTGCATAGCCCAGGCCGCCTGTTTCTTTGCTCCTGTCAATTCTTCTGTTGTGTCGCTACTTGCAGGTGTATCGTGGTCGAATGTTCATACCAAGCTCGACATCATCCACTGCAAAGCCAACAGTCTGGACATTAGAGCTGAAACGATTGACGACCAGCGACCAGCACCCGTGTTGATGTATAGTACACATATACATACTTAACAAATCTAAGGGCTGCCGCCCCTGCCGCCGACCCCAAGCCTATTTTTGCTAGCTGATATTTCAGAGCGAGTGGGTTTTGAATCTGGACCTGTTTGCCACCTCTGCACCCCGCAACTGTTTGCCACATCTTTCAGCCAACAAATTGCCGTAAAAAATGCACCTCCCGGACAGGAAAACACCATGGCACATGAGAGACGGAATGGTGCCCTACAATGATAATCCACGAGGCCTAACGTCCCTTCTGAAACCCTAGTTAAAAAAAACAAATTTCCAGCTCTGGGCAGCTCTTGGCAACTTGTCCACATGGCCTTCCTGCTGCCCTGCTCCTGCTGTAAGCTGCTCGGCTGCTACTTTGGTTGTTGCTGCTGCGCTGCTTCTGCTGCGGCTGCTGCAACTGCTTGCCACATCTTTTAGCCAACAAATTGCTTTAAAAAAACACATAGGCTTGTTGTGGGCGCGCAAAAATGCGTGATTTAGAGCTCACATGCAGGCCTTCTCATATTAAAAAAAATGTTAGACATATCCTCATAAAATGTTGAATTTGCCGTGGATTAATCCAGATTAATCCAAGAACCAAAAAATCAAAAAAACAACAACAAAAAAAAACAATATTTTCCAGACTAGTCTGATCATGGCTATATCCAAGTAGTCCCCAAAACATTGTTTTTTTTGTTTTTTTTTGTTTTTTTTTTGTTTTTTTGGTCCTTGGATTAATCTGGATTAATCTAGATTAATCTGGATTAATCTAGATTAATCTAGACTAATCTTAGGCAATCCAGTCTGCAATGGATCTGCTGAAATTTGTTATGTCCTTCTAGCACTGTCTGCATGTGAAATCTATCTGTAAGTCTTGGCTCTAACAATATTTCTTTTGCTATCCTTCTGCGCCATGTCGTCTGTCTTCGCCAGGGTGGAAACCATTTTTTTAATTTCCTGAACAGCAAGGCCTAATTTCCGATTTTCTGCAGGTGGTGGCTCTGTTTGTGTAGTTTTCTTCTGAGCAAGGAATACCATCCTCTTTTCAAAGGAATGAACAAATATAATATATTGCATCCTTCTCAAGGAAATTTGCATAAAGGCATGCTGCACTGTTGTCTCTGAAAGAGCAGTTGCTTATTCAAGAATACCCTTTCAAAATAATGCTATATTTCCTGCAAGGAACACTATACTTCTTCAAATGGCAATTCCATGCATTGCGCTTTATTACAGACACATCACCCTCTTTCAAAGGGATTGTTGTATATATGAAAGGGTTCCCTTTTGTACAACAACTTACTGTAAATCACACCATACTCAGCCAGATTCTTTCACTAGGACTGCTGTGTGTCTTGAAGGCTACTTCTCAAAGAGATGCTACATACTTTTGAAAGGAATATTGTGTGTAACTGTATATATATATAGTTAATAGTATCATACAGTGAATTATGCTATTTGAAAATCATATTATATTTTCCAAAAGAATAATATTTTTCCAAGTAACATGGCTTTCTTACAGACACACCACCCTCTTTGAAAGGGATTGTTGTATATATGAAAGGGCTCCCTTTTGTACAACAACTTACTGTAAACCACACCATACTCAGCCATACTCTTTCACTAGGACTGCTGTGTGTCTTGAAGGCTACTTCTCAAAGAGATGCTACATACTTTTGAAAGGAATATTGTGTGTAACTGTATATATATATATAGTTAATAGTATCATACAGTGAATTATGTTAATTGAAAACTATATTGTATTTTCCAAATGAATAATATTTATGGAAGTAATATGGCATAACACCGGCGTTTAAATCAAGATTTCATGAAACCATCAAGTACTGTCTGAAAGGAATGCCGCTTTTCTGAAAAACACTAATGTATATGCCGTATATGCATATTTTATCTTAAGGAAATGCTACCCTTCTCTAAAAGGACTACTACCTCTATGGAAGGAATTACATATGTTCATTAAAATATGTGGAAGACAGAACGCACTTGTTCTAAAGGAATGCTATGCACATCTCAGGGTCTTGTTTTACACTTTCTAAAAGGAATGTTGCTCCCTCTATAGAAGAATGTTGCATAGAGGCATGCCACAACTTCCTCAAGAAATGCCACATTCTTTCAAATTTTCAACGATGACTTATGAGAAGCATGCTGTGGCCCTTAGAATTTGAGTTGATGCTGTACTAGGGTTTAATAACACAACATTTTTCAAAGGAACAATATGCTTACCCTGGCAAAACATTCCATATCTCTTTATGTAGGGAGCTCTGGAAGATGCAGTACTGCTTGGGGACAAAATGAAATCTTCTGTCAATCAAAAGTGCTGTTTCCTCTTGTTCATGCTTGCTATAAAAACCTGCAACATAGAAGCAAACAAAACCCTATCATTTGAGCATGGCGCAACAGGGCAAATTGAATTTTCTCTCTGATATTCACTGGCTAAATGACATAGAACCGTTGATAGCGTTATGTGTATTTTATCTGAGGCTTTGGATTAAGTTTCCAACAATACGAGGGCATGACGGTACAAAAAATGAACATCTGCTGCCATGAACTTCCCACAAATCCTCAAAATCCCGCGCCCACAACAAACCCATCCCTAAAAAAAACGCACCTCCCGGACAGGAAAGCACCATGGCACTGAGGGACGGAATGGTGCCCTGCAATGATAATCCACGAGGCCTAACGTCCCTTCTGAAACCCTAGTGAAAGAACACAAATTTCCAGCTCTTGGCAGCTCTTGACAGCTGTGTCCACATGGCCTTCCTGCTGCCCTGCTCCTGCTGTAAGCTGCTCGGCTGCTACTTCGGTTGTTGCTGCTGCGCTGCTTCCTGCTGCTGGTGCTGCTGCTGCTGCTGCTCCTGCTACAAGCCCCTCCTCCTGCTGGTGTGCTTTCTAGCTAACATATTGCCTTAAAAAAACGCACCTCCCGGACAGGAAAACACCATGGCACTGAGGGACGGAATGATGCCCTGCAATGATAATCCACGAGGCCTAACGTCCCTTCTGAAACCGTAGTTAAAAAACACAAATTTCCAGCTCTGGGCAGCTCTTGACAGCTCTTGATAACTGTGTCCACATGGCCTTCCTGCTACCCTGCTCATGCTGTAAGCTGCTTGGCTGCTACTTCGGTGTGTGCTGGCTTCGGCAGCTGCTGATGCTGCTGACCAGCCTCCTGGACGGGAACACACACGAATGGTGCCCTGCAATGGTAATCCACGGGGCCTTCTGAAACCCTAGTTAAAAAACACAAATTTCCAGCTCTTGGCAGCTCTTGGCAACTTGTCCACATGGCCTTCCTGCTGCCCTGCTCCTGCTGTAAGCTGCTCGGCTGCTACTTTGGTTGTTGCTGCTGCGCTGCTTCTGCTGCGGCTGCTGCAACTGCTTGCCACATCTTTTAGCCAACAAATTGCCTTTAAAAAACGCACCTCCCGGACAGGAAAACACCATGGCACTGAGGGACGGAATGGTGCCCTACAATGATAATCCACGAGGCCTAACGTCCCTTCTGAAACCCTAGTTAAAGAACACAAATTTCCAGCTCTTGGCAGCTCTTGACACCTGTGTCCACATGGCCTTCCTGCTGCCCTGCTCCTGCTGTAAGCTGCTCGGCTGCTACTTCGGTTGTTGCTGCTGCGCTGCTTCCTGCTGCTGCTGCTGCTGCTCCTGCTACAAGCCCCTCCTCCTGCTGGTGTGCTTTTAGCTAACATATTGCCTTAAAAAAACGAACCTCCCAGACAGGAAAACACCATAGCACTGAGGGACGGAATGATGCCCTGCAATGATAATCCACGGCCTAACGTCCCTTCCGAAACCCTAGTAAAAAAACACAAATTTCCAGCTCTTGGCAGCTCTTGACAACTGTGTCCACATGGCCTTCCTGCTACCCTGCTCCTGCTGTAAGCTGCTTGGCTGCTACTTCGGTTGTTGCTGCTCCGCTGCTTTTGGTGTGCTGGCTTCGGCAGCTGCTGATGCTGCTGACCAGCCTCCTGGACGGGAACACACACGAATGGTGCCCTGCAATGGTAATCCACGGGGCCTAACGTCCCTTCTGAAACCTTATAGTTAAAAAAACATTAAAGAACACAAGGTCCAACTCTTGACAGCTCTTGGCAGCGTTTTGCACCTGTTTGCCACCTCTGCAGCCCGCAGCTGTTTACCACATCTTTTAGCCGGCAAAATGCCTTAAAAAAATGCACCTCCCGGACAGGAAAACACCATGGCACTGAGGGACGGAATGGTGCCCTGCAATGATAATCCACGAGGCCTAACGTCCCTTCTGAAACCCTATAGTTAAAAAACACAAATTTCCAGCTCATGGGCTGCTCGGCTGCTACTTTGGTTGTTGCTGCTGCGCTGCTTCTGCTGCGGCTGCTGCAACTGCTTGCCACATCTTTTAGCTAACAAATTGCCTTAAAAAAACGCACCTCCCGGACAGGAAAACACCATGGCACTGAGGGCTGCTACTTCGGTTGTTGCCGCTCCGCTGCTTTTGGTGTGCCGGCTTCGGCTGCTGCTGATGCTGCTGACCAGCCTCCTGGACGGTCAAACACCATGGAACTGAAGGACGAATGGTGCCTTGCAATGGTAATCCACGGGGCCTAACGTCCATTCTGAAACCTTAGTTAAAAAACATTAATGAACACAAGGTCCAACTCTTGACAGCTCTTGGCAACGTTTTGCACTTGTTTGCCACCTCTGCAGCCCGCAGCTGTTTACCACATCTTTTAGCCAACAAATTGCCTTCAAACAATGCACCTCCCGGACAGGAAAACACCATGGCACTGAGGGACGGAATGGTGCCCTACAATGATAATCCACGAGGCCTAACGTCCCTTCTGAAACCCTAGTTAAAGAACACAAATTTCCAGCTCTTGGCAGCTCTTGACACCTGTGTCCACATGGCCTTCCTGCTGCGCTGCTCCTGCTGTAAGCTGCTCGGCTGCTACTTTGGTTGTTGCTGCTGGCAACTGCCTGCCACATCTTTTAGCCAACAAATTGCCTTAAAAAAGCGCACCTCGCGGACAGGAAAACACCATGGCACTGAGGGACGGAATGGTGCCCCGCAATGATAATCCATGAGGCCTAACGTCCCTTCTGAAACCCTAGGTAAAAAATTTCCAGCTCTTGGCAGCTCTTGACAGCTGTGTCCACATGGCCTTCCTGCTGCCCTGCTCCTGCTGTAAGCTGCTCGGCTGCTACTTCGGTTGTTGCTGCTGCGCTGCTTCTTGCTGCTGCGCTGCTTCCTGCTGCTGCTGCTGCTCCTGCTACAAGCCCCTCCTCCTGCTGGTGTGCTTTTAGCTAACATATTGCCTTAAATAAATGCACCTCCCGGAGAGGAAAGCACCATGGCACTGAGGGACGGAATGGTGCCCTGCAATGATAATCCACAAGGCCCAACGTCCCTTCTGAAACCCTAGTTAAAGAACACAAGTTTCCAGCTCTTGGCAGCTCTTGGCAACTTGTCCGCATGGCCTTCCTGCTGCCCTGCTGCTGCTCGGCTGCTACTTTGGTTGTTGCTGCTGCGCTGCTTCTGCTGCGGCTGCTGCAACTCCTTGCCACATCTTTTAGCCAACAAATTGCCTTAAAAAACGCACCTCCCGGACAGGAAAACACCATGGCACTGAGGGACGGAATGGTGCCCTGCAATGATAATCCACGAGGCCTGACGTCCCTTCTGAAACCCTAGTTAAAAAACACAAATTTCCGGCTCTTGGCAGCTCTTGACAACTGTGTCCACATGGCCTTCCTGCTGCCCTGCTCCTGCTGTAAGCTGCTCGGCTGCTACTTCGGTTGTTCCTGCTGCGCTGCTTCCTGCTGCTGCTGCTGCTGCTCCTGCTACAAGCCCCTCCTCCTGCTGCTGTGCTTTTAGCTAACATATTGCCTTTAAAACAAATGCACCTCCCGGACAGGAAAACACCATGGCACTGAGGGACGGAATGGTGCCCTGCAATGATGATAATCCACAGGGCTAACGTCCCTTCTGAAACCCTAGTTAAAAAACACAAATTTCCAGCTCTCGGCAGCTCTTGACAACTGTGTCCACATGGCCTTCCTGCTACCCTGCTCCTGCTGTAAGCTGCTTGGCTGCTACTTCGGTGTGTGCTGGCTTCGGCAGCTGCTGCTGCTGCTGACCAGCCTCCTGGACCTGAAAACACTATGGAACTCAAGAACGAATGGTGCCCTGCAATGGTAATCCACGGGGCCTAACGTCCCTTCTGAAACCTTATAGTTAAAAAAACATTAAAGAACACAAGGTCCAACTCTTGACAGCTCTTGGCAGCGTTTTGCACCTGTTTGCCACCTCTGCAGCCCGCAGCTGTTTACCACATCTTTTAGCCAACAAATTGCCTTAAAAAAACGCACCTCCCGGACAGGAAAACACCATCGCACTGAGGGACGGAATGGTGCCCTGCAATGATAATCCACGAGGCCTAACGTCCCTTCTGAAACCTTAGTTAAAAAACACAAATTTCCAGCTCTTGGCAGCTCTTGACAACTGTGTCCACATGGCCTTCCTGCTGCCCTGCTCCTGCTGTAAGCTGCTCGGCTGCTACTTCGGTTGTTGCTGCTCCGCTGCTCAAAGCAAGGAATGGTTTCTGGATGCTGGACGCACGACGCCAAATAACAAAAAACTGCCTAACGTCTCGTCTGAAACCTTTAAACAAGGCTACACCTGAGCCTCCTGCTGCTGCTGCTGCTGCTGCTGCCCCGGATAATAATGCTGCTGCAGCTGCTAGCGTACTGGCTGCTGCTGCCTGCTTACTGGCTGCTGGCTACTGGCTGCTGCTGGCTGCTGGCTGCTTCTGCTGGCTGCTGCAAAAACGTGGGTCCCGGACAGGGAAACACCATGGCAGTGAAGGGCGGATGGGCCAGAAAAAAATGATCAAAAACTGCCTAATGTCTCGTCTGAAACTGCTCTAAGCAAGGCTACACCTGAGCCTGCTGCTGCTGCTGCTGCCGCCTGTTCAAAAAACAGCACCCGGATAATACTGCTGCAGCTGCTAGCGGCAGCTGCCTACTGGCTGCTGAGTCCTGGCTGCTGACTACTGGCTGCCGCTGCCTGCTTACTGGCTGCTGGCTACTGGCTGCTGCTGGCTGCTGGCTGCTTCTGCCCGGAGTCCCGGACAGGGAAACACCATGGCACTAAAGGCGGATGGGCCAGAAAAAAATGACCAAAAACTGCCTAACGTCTCGTCTGAAACTGCTCTAAACAAGGCTACACCTGAGCCTCCTGCTGCTGCTGCTGCCGCCTGTTCAAAAGAGCCCCCGGAGAATGCAGCTGCTGCAGCTGCTGGCGGCAGCTGCCTACTGGCTGCTGACCTGGCTGCTGACTACTGGCCGCCTGCTGCCTGCTTACTGGCTGCCTGCCTGTTGGCTGCTGAGTCCTGGCTGTCTCCTGCCTGCTTACTGGCTGCTGGCTACTGGCTGCTGCCGCTGCTCTGCTGCTACCACTGCCGCTGCTCTGCTGCTGCTACTGCTGCTGCTACTTTGGAAAGCTTCCCAAGACCCGTTGTTGTATTTGTTGTTGTCCACAACCTCTCTTCCCTGACGCGCTCCCCCTTGCTGTCGGCCGGGGTCGGCGGATATTTACTGTACTACATCTTGATCAAAGGAAGTTTGAAAGTCTAACTTTCGTGTAACGGATTTTTAGAAATCACTGTCACCACTGTCACAAATCACCACCACCAAAATCACCACTATCAAAAAATCACCACGATCACAACATCGCCACTATCACAATATCACCACTATCACATGTCTCGCGCGAAAGCTACCTTTTCACATCTTTCACTTTCACTTTTTGAGGGACGTCTCGCACCAAAGCTTCGTTTTCACATCTTCCACTTCCACTTCTCCGTGTAAATGGTTCTCTGTGTAAGGGCTTCTCTGTGTAGGAGGTTGCTCTGTGTAAAAACTTTGTGTGAATAAAAGCTTCCCTGACTTCGCGTAAAAACTTCTCTGTGTGAAAGCTGGCTGTGTGTAAAAGTTTCTGTGTGTAAAAACTTTTCTGTGTGAAAACTTCTCTGTGTAAGAGCTTGCTCTGTGTAAAAGCTTGCTCTGTGTAAAAACTGGCTCTGTGTAAAAGGTTCTGTGTAAAAACTTTCTCTGTGTAAAAACTTCTCTGTGTGAAAGCTTGCTATGTGTAAAAACTTCGCTGTGTAAACCCCTTTCTGTGTAGGAGCTTCTCTGCGTGAAAGCTTGCTGGCTTGCTGTGTCTATCCCAATGCGCCCACGGATCAGAGACCGCGCTAACAACTATTCTGAACGCTGCTGCGGTGTCTTATTGGGCTTGGGAAAGAGATTGAATGGCAAGTGTAAGAAAAACTGATGCGAGATCAGATGCTTTGACATGAGATGAGCAACCATGAAATACCACAAGAGGGCAAGTTGATTTCCAAGAAAAAGAAATGACACCAAATAAGCTGAGATAAGATGACATGAGCTGCGAAGAGCTGAGATGAGGTGAACAAAATCAGAAGACATGAGATGAGGTGAGATGAGATGGGATGACACAGACTGCGGTGACAGTGGGATGCAGTGAGCAATTTCCAAGAGAAGCTGCGATGCGATGAGATCAGATGAAATGAGAAAAGATTCAGCATTCGAAAGACATGGCATCAGATTGACAAGTCAAGAGCCTGTTGCCACGAAGCACAGGAGGCTTGCCTGTCACCTATAGGCACAGCCTTTGCTCCGCTCTATAGGCTATAAGCGTTTCAAATTTGAAACTTCCGCCCCCGGCTTGCCCGGGAACTTGTACTTAAAAAGACTTGATACATACACTTCTTTGCTGTCTGTTTTTTATATTTCTTAATGAAACTTAACACACACACACACATTTCTTTGCTGTCTTCTTTTTATGCTGCCAAGGCCACTACAGGACTTGTCAAGCTTGGCACTCGACTGCAACGGCTCTGTGAAGGCGGTGAAGTAAGAGAATGCTTGGCGGCTGACCATGCGATGGCCCAGAATGCACACGTATGAGCACGATTGACCAGGCACATGCACATCACATGAACGTGCCATGCTGCCTATGCTGCCTTTCCAGGTTTCTGTTCTGGATCGACAACCACTCAGTGTATCCAGGCGAAAACGAACATGGACTGAGAGAAAGAAAACTGCCATGCAAATGATTGTTTTTTCTTGCTCAGAGTACCTAAATTTGAGAATAAGTTGCTGTTAATCAAATTTTGACCTAGAATCATTCGAATGGAAAACCAAACTACGAGGATGATCGCACCTCAGCTGTTATACAGTAGCTGAATGTGCAGGTCGCTGTCAAAGTGGTGCATCCACAGGCCTGAAGATACTGCAAAGTTGCGTGCAAATCAAGCACTCAGAATCTCTCAGAATCTCTCTGAAAACGTGTGGCAACTCTTTGGGACCCAGTGAGGTGCGGCGAGCTGTTCAGGTGGACTTGAAGGTGCGTTCTGGGGAAAATATTCCGATATAGTCAGCAATTTAAGAGGCTACAGGTATGGAACGCTAATTCCTCAAAGTGGGGAGATGTTCAACAAACATCCACAGCTGACACCCTGCCTCGAAGGTCAGAATTGACCAGGTAGTGACATGTACCCTTATGTAGCCTTAGTTATTTGTTCTGGCCAGAGGAAGCGCGCACGATCAACGGTCTTGGTGTTTCAAAACCCGGCGTCGAACATGTTAAGCCTGGTGCAGGTGCTCGATCACCTTGCCGGATTTTCCTCCTTTGTGGGTATGGACAGGCCCAGATGGCTTCACACAAAAGGAATGATATTGGCCCAGGTTGAACCTGTACAGAATCCTATTATATTGGCCCAAACGTGGTGTCAGGTTGGGCTTGCCGCTAATGCTTCAGCAGTTTTCGGCCTTCTTAAAGGCAAGGATTTCTTGGACATTTCTGTGCGTCAGGAAGGCGTCATGGTGGTTTCTCAAAGTTCACAGTTTTTGGCGATTGGAGGCCCAGACCGACCTCAGGACAGAGGCACAAAACCTGCGCAGGTGGGAAGTTTGAAGTCTAGACGAATCCTGATGTGCCGGGTGAAGCCGTCCTTTTCATCAATGCCGGATAGGTTGAAACAGCAGTTCTGCAGCAGGGACAACAGCATCGTCATCCCTGAGGTTCGAAATCTTTGATTTCCTTGCTGTTGGCTTGTCATGTTTTGTCAATATTTGCCAGTATTTACAACATTATATGTTGGCATTATGTTGGAATCGCTTTAAACCCCAGGTGTTTGACCAGTGGGTCTCTCGGGACGTTCTCGTCATGAGCTTCGAGGCGGCTACCTGCAACTTCCGAGGGATTCTGCTTCGTTGCTTGGGCCTGTCCTTTACAAAGCTTGCGACAGGAAGGCGAGCCTCTGAACACTTTGCTTGAGGATCCCAAGGGCATGGAGGTTGAGAGGCCTGGCCCACTGGCCTGGGTGAAAAAAGTAGACTCAGTGCAGTCCAGATTGACTGAGGTAATTATTCATTTTGATTTTTCGACAACACCTTCTTTACAAACCACTTGGCTGAGAGTTGGCAATTTGCTGAAGGATAGTGGCATAGTGATATTGTTGCTGCCTGCCAAACTGCACAAACACATGAAGTTGCCTGCTATGCAGTGTAGTTTGCATGTCCCCAATTTTGTCCATAGTGGCAACGAAGCACTTGTAAGCTGCGCAGGCTAGAAGCTTGGCGAATCTTGGTTTGGGGCCCCTGTATTCCGAGGTCCAGATCAGGCTAGTGAAGAGTCAGGACGTCTCAAGGCGTAAGATTTTAAGATGAATTTTGATGAATTTTGCATATTTTCTCTTGTTATTCAAGAGTTATGCCAAGGTGGACAGCTTTTGGGCAATGGTCTTCAGACACAGATTTGTTCCCATCTCAGGTTCACAGTTGCAAAAGTCACAAAGATCACAAAGCAATCTCCTTGGCTATCAATATCCATCAGCTACATGGCACCTTGTCATTGTCTTAGGTCCATGGAGATTTGCATCCAGGCAGGAGATTTGGATCCTCTGTTTATCTCCTTTTCTTCTCACACAAAATGCTTCACAGGAAACATTTTGTGGCGCCAGCCACCTGATGGTTCACCGGTCCGCTCCTACGCTTCGGAGGGAAGAATGTGAAGTTCGAGTCTACTGAATCTGGCTTTGGTAGACTTCTTGTAAGGTGCAGCTGGTCCTGTTGGATTGCGGTCTCGTCATAGCAGGGTCCTCTGAACTTGTACATCTTTGCACATCTTTATTCGATGCGTTCAAGCAATGTATCCGTGTTCTACCTTCCGGATCGTGGCTGTGACTTTTCAATTTCTGATACTATCAGGGATTCAAACTCCTTCAGTGAATTTCTTTTGACCTCAGGATTTAAGTGGTGATGCAGGAGAGGACCTATCAATGATGGTGAAGGCATGCCTGCAGGAAAAGTTCTCCTTGACCAAAAGCTTTACTCAGCAGATTTGACACACTTGTGCTCTCCAAATCAAGCTTTCTGCAAGGCTTTCCTGACCAAGTCTGAGGAAGAAGTCGCGAACTCCTCTCAGACATGTACCAGAAGTTTAAACCCATAACTGGTGGTTCTTTGGAATCCCATAGTTCTTTATAGTTCTTTGCGTGGGTACGTATTCTTGGCAACAAACTTTGCGGGACTGTGGAATGCTGCAGCCGAGGAGTCTTTTGATTAAGCTTAGTGAAAGGGTAGGCGGCAGCGCAGAGGACGGGGAGATGACACACTATCAGTGCTATCAGTGCTATCAGTGCCATCAGTGGCTTGCGCACAACTTCGTTTGGCTTCCGAAATCTTCCGAATTTGCTCTGCAGGATGTCCTTGATCCTGAAGGATTTGTGAAGGGCATTGCCGACTTGATCCGATCTGGAAAAAGTGTGGGATTCAGGCGAATGACACATAGTGATGCATAGTGGCCTCTGCTTCTCAAATCGTGAAGGGCGAACACCATTTCATACATTTCTTACATGTCATACATTTCATACATTTCATTCATTCATGCATTTCATACATTTCATACATTACTCAGACTTACATACATTACATACATTACATACAAACCATGCAGTACATACATCACATACATCACTCACACGCACAAACATTGCATGCATGCATGTATACGTGTAGGCGTAATATGTACAGTTATATACATGTAAATTATAAACATGCATATTATGTTTGTCTTCATGTGAGCCGTGTTCAAAACCCTCTGTGACTATTATTGCTATACAGTGATTGGATCTGGTTGGTGAGTAGGGATTCCCGTAGTGGATTGTGACAATCCCCAATATATTGTGGGAAGGAACAAGAATTGTGTATGTAACATGAACATGTGATTTTGGAGGGAGGGTGGGTCGAATGGAGGACACCACTTGGATTGTGGCGAGATGTGCAGGCTTTCCAAGCTCAACGCTGGCTCGCTTATGGGCCAAAGCTTGTTGCAAAAGCCTCAGCCTGGCCTTTGCAGTTGAAATGACCCGCTTTGTGTCAATCTGCTTTGGCTGAACATAGATACATTTTGGTCTGTGAGGCGTTTCACGCATCCCCGCTCCCAAATTGAGTCTGTGAGACGGATGTGCAGTGATGTACACGAACTCAGGGTCGGGTGGTCTGAGGTTAGGCCGCAAACACGGAGTACGCTTCGATGCTCGATTTGTCAACCTGATGGTGGCAATGGTTGTTGTACAGGCAAATAGCATGAGATAGCAATGTGTCGACTGTAAAAGTGGTTGACTTGGTACGTAGCATGCTAGCACGACTTCCCTTCTTCATCTCATGCAGGGAGTGGCACTGCGTTTGAACGGCGACGGGGACATTATGACAAGGCACCAGCCAGACAATGTGGCAAAAGAAATAAATTTATCGTCCCTACCCTCTGCATTCCCTCTTTTTATCGGCCCTGTTGCCCTCTGTCGGTCTGTCGGTGAGTGCGGTTTTCGACTTTAGCCCGTTGTTCAACTTTGCGAGTTTTACTTGCAGTCTTGCTTGTCGCATATTGTCTCTGAAACTTTCCCGTGTCTTTGGATTTTTTTCTTCAATTCATTGCTGCGACTTGTTAGACATCTATGGTTCCTCCGCAGGATGCGGGCGTTTCTGTTCGAGGCAGCAGTCCTTCCCTTAGCCTGCATCATTAGTAGTCTGAGGTAGCAGGAGAGCAAAACTATCTACATTTTACTTGTGCATAACCAGAAACTCATTGTTGGTATTTATTTGTAGTGATTTCAATGATCCTATTGCAGAACTTGCTGAGGTATCACAGCTCATGAGCTAGCAGCCCTCCGAACATCTCCGAACGTTTCGCATAAGACACATCAAGACACATCGAGACACCAATGTCCGACAGCAACTGTAATGACTCCATTATACTCTATTATACTCTATTATAAATTATACGCTATTATACTCTATTATACTCTATTTAATGTCCACACTGGGCCAAGTGGTCCAATGGCTCAGTGACAGCACCACAGACCGCGCGGACTTTCGGCCTTGATGCCTAGATGGGCAGAGATAGGCAGAGATAGGTGAAATGCATGGGGCCCTCGACATGTTTTAGGCCCGAACATGCAAACCCAAGCGGAGCCAGGAGAAAGGGCTATTCAGGAGATTCAGGATGCTTATATTTTGTTTCCATGCATTTGCTTTTAGATTGTCTTCCTTGCATTCACACCATCGCAGTATTCATTTTGGCACCTGTCTCCAAGAGCTTGCCATTGCAGCGCTGCTTTCAGCTCTAGCTTTTGCATCCGACGTGCTCCCTTTGCTCTCTCTTCTTGAGTCCGAACTCGAGATGTCGTTTGGCCCCCAGCTGTTGATACTCGTGACAAGCACTAGTTCCACCAACAATTCATGGAGCGTTGTATTCCGTAAAAACATGGACTCATTTACTCATTTCGCTCTTTCTGACATTGTGCCGTTCTTTACATCCCTTATCCCCTTGCCTGTGGCATGCTGTGGTATTATTTTCTATTCACTCTTTCCTTGCGTAGATAGTTGATTCAACTTACAAGATCATGGAAGTAACCAGTCCGCCACACCTTTTTCAGCATCGAGATTCAACACACCCTGGGCGCTTTAAAATTGAGTGGCAAGAGCTGCATTTTTTTTTAAAAAAAGCAAACTGCAGCGGACTCTACTGTAGGTTTTGTATTCCACACCTGAGCTTCTTCTTGTGTTCTTGAAAACAACCCATTTGCATTCGCAAGGCCAACACCATATCTATATATATATATATTATCAGTTTGTATGTCTAGCTGTCTATCTATCACACCTCGCGCCCCAGGATTTCCCCGCAACATTTATACAATCCATCCTGATGCTCTCGAGCAGCGTGGAATTGTGACCATGGTACCAGACTCTTTAGACCGGAAACAGAAGCATTCGAAAAGGAGTTCTAGATTTTGGGATATGCCGCCTCAGGTTGGAGTCTCTTGCAAATGCGGACAGATTCGTTTTTGACCTACCTTCACTGACCTGATTCCCCTTTTGATTTTGTGTTTACACAGCTTCAAAACTTGCCTTCTCCCTGCCTGTCAGGTTTGTTCCACCCGAATTGGAACTTCGTGAGATAGCCGAACGGGGGCTCGCTGGTCATGAGCCCGCGAGCCCCCACTTTCCGAAGAAACACGCAGAGGTGAGGCAAGTACAGATGGACTCAGATGGAATCAGATGAAATCAGATGGACAGGTTATGATAAGTTATGACACACGGCAAGTGACACGGTTTCAGTACGTTTCATTTCGCAAGTGACACAAGTGACACACAGCCCTTGGGCGTCAGGCACACCATGTCTCTGCGTCGACGCCTATTTCACAGGCTTGGACATGTTGGACATGTTGGGCATGTTGGACATACATTCCATACATCACATTTCTGAGTCTCCGAGATTCTCCGAGTCAGCTGTTCTTTTAGGCGAGCACAGCTCCGTTAGCACCTGAGATATGTCGCCTTTCTAAAAAAGTGAGAGGAAAATCACCACATCTTGACTTCATGCAATCCTTAGGACAACTCCGAATATGCAGTTCCGTCTTCCCAGCCTTCACCTTGAAGGAGCAACTTAGCAGCATCGAGGGAGTGCGTAGTGCTAGCTCAGCGTCTCTCAGTTTTTGTCTGGTTTTGTGGCCAAACTGAGCTACCCTCAGCAAACCCGTTGCCTGTCTCACAAATTGCAATCAAATTCGCCGCACTCAGCATGACTTCGACGAAGACCACTTTCCACTTCTGACAAGGCATATGGCTTGTGTGGCCAGAGTGTGTCAGTCGTCCACTCCACAACACAGATGAGAATCATCAACACTGCTGGCTCATAGTTGTCATCACTCATTGTCATAGTATCATGTGTGGCATTCAGCAGTTTCATTGTCATGTTGGGATCGCATCCAGAAGTTTCTGCAGGCAATTGTCCATCCCTGAGGAGCCAGAAGATGGCCCGGGCCATAGAATGGGCAGCGCAGAATTTTGCTGCTGCTGATCTGCTGATCAAACTTCGGTGAGGTGTGGGTTTTGAAAGCGCGGAACATTTGGAGGCTTTGATATGCCTTAATGAGCATTAATGCATCTTAATGCCTTACTTGGAGTTCTTTTCATATCATATCCCCTTCGCACAAATTGTCAACAGGATGCCCTACGCAACGTCCAAGAGGTCTATGAGCGCAAGTATGGCCGCATTGAGGAGATTTCGCGGGAAGTTGTGTCATTCTTGCGTAGTTACATACTTACAGTATACATATTATTACATATTTAGAAATATTTTGGTGATGCCTTTGCATGGGAGGAACGTGAAGCCACTGTCACCAACGATGCAGGCACCCTCCTGAGCCAATTTTAGGCACAAGTTTACAGGAGAGTATTGATTTCTTTTAATTATATTCCTTTACTAAACTTTACTTCATTTTTTCTGCTGAAATAAGAAAAGAATGCAATTTGCTGAGCTTTCTGCAGTTTCCGGGCAGAGTAGTGAGTAGGGCCAATGGCCGAAGCTGCTGAGGTGCCAACAACTTGCAGGCCTTTGCCTCAGCGAGCCCGTTGTGAATGCTGAAGTCGCAGATGATCCTAGCCCCTGGTAATTTCACATAGTTATGGAAATAATCACCAGACTATTATCGTTACAGTAAATCATCGATAACTGGACCCATTTTCTATAGCAGCTATGTGAAATCACCAGGGAGCCTAGAGGGTCATACGTGTGATGTTCACACGCATTTCCCGAACATTGCCGAGTTCACACGTCAGTTTACCATGTTTAAAGGGAGTTTGTATGTGTACAGCACTGAAAGTATACAGTAGATCATGCTAAATCAATCCTGACAGTCTAGGCCGTCTAGGCCCTAAGGCCATGCTGCACTCTTTGCCACCATTGTCCACAAGCCCAGAGTGTCAGCCTTGTCGGCCTTGCTCAGGACGGTGTTTCCCAGTGGCTGACCACCGTCAAGGAGAGGGTCAAAGCGTGGCCGGATTTCAAACACGTGTACTTGAATACTTAAACCTGCTGTGTAAATAGACAGCAATGCGCCCGTTCCTGACGAAGCAGGCTCGAAGCTCAAAGCCCACAATGGACGAGAAGCTCGACAAACTGGAGCAGAAGCTGGCAGAAGTGAAGCAGCTCTACAAGCAGAAGTATGGCGAGGAAGTCGACCATGAAGACACTGATGTTCAGTATGATGCTGATGGCACTCCCTGGATCCAGATCTCTGGGACTGGTGTTGCAACAGACCTTCGCGTCGAGCGATTGGAGCAATTGCTGTCAATCGTCAAAGACCTCTACTCTGAGAAGTACGGTCGCGATGTCGATACAGAGTATGATGCAGATGGCACTCCTTGGAAAGTGACGGAAGGCACTGGTGTCCCTCGTGACTGCCGGGTTGAGCGCTTGGAGCAGAAGCTTTCAGAAGTAAAGCAGCTTTACAAGCAGAAGTATGGCGAAGAAGTTGACCAAGAAGACACTGATGTTCAGTATGATGCTGACGGCACTCCCTGGATCCAGATCTCTGGGACTGGTGTTGCAACAGACCTTCGCGTCGAGCGATTGGAGCAATTGCTGTCAACGGTCAAAGACCTTTACTCTGAGAAGTATGGTCGCGATGTCGACACAGAGTATGATGCAGATGGCACTCCTTGGAAAGTGACGGAAGGCACTGGTGTCCCTCGTGACTGCCGGGTTGAGCGCTTGGAGCAGAAGCTTTCAGAAGTAAAGCAGCTTTACAAGCAGAAGTATGGCGAAGAAGTTGACCAAGAAGACACTGATGTTCAGTATGATGCTGACGGCACTCCCTGGATCCAGATCTCTGGGACTGGTGTTGCAACAGACCTTCGCGTCGAGCGATTGGAGCAATTGCTGTCAACGGTCAAAGACCTTTACTCTGAGAAGTATGGTCGCGATGTCGACACAGAGTATGATGCAGATGGCACCCCTTGGAAAGTGACGGAAGGCACTGGTGTCCCTCGTGACTGCCGGGTTGAGCGCTTGGAGCAGAAGCTGGCAGAAGTGAAGCAGCTTTACAAGCAGAAGTATGGCGAAGAAGTTGACCAAGAAGACACTGATGTTCAGTATGATGCTGATGGCACTCCCTGGATCCAGATCTCTGGGACTGGTGTTGCAACAGACCTTCGCGTCGAGCGATTGGAGCAATTGCTGTCAACGGTCAAAGACCTCTACTCTGAGAAGTACGGTCGCGATGTCGATACAGAGTATGATGCAGATGGCACTCCTTGGAAAGTGACGGAAGGCACTGGTGTCCCTCGTGACTGCCGGGTTGAGCGCTTGGAGCAGAAGCTGGCAGAAGTAAAGCAGCTTTACAAGCAGAAGTATGGCGAGGAAGTCGACGAGCAGGACAGGTTTGCTTGTTTTGTTGTTGTCTACTACGCTGTTCTGGTGAATATCATTCGTGTACGGATTGGTATTGTTATATATTATTTATATAGAAATTCGTAAAAGGAACTATAATATTATTTCATATTATTTCAATATTTAAATATTTACTGTAGATCAGGCTCCGCTTCTTTTGGCTTTACTTGTGCTGTCTGGATGGTGCTTAGTATTTTCGTGTCGGGCAGTCCCAGCCAAAGTTAAGCTTGAGGCTTATGCGTTGTCCAAGCCAATTTTCCGATTTCGTTTACAGCTCAGGCAATGGTTGAAAGCCCAATTTAGTCTCCTCCAGATTTGCTTACCCCGGCCCAAACAGCACCAGCGACCTCTCGACCGTGTAGGGCCTTGACGTCATTTGACGAGTCTTTTTCCCCAATAGCGATAGCTTGGGGTTGTTCAGTCTAAAGGCTGGCGCCTTCCGGTTTTCGGCAGGTCTGGGTGGGGTCTGTCCCGGTGCCTCAGTGGTGTCTCGGTGATATTTTGGTGGTGTCTCGGTTTGTCTCCGTGGTGCCTCGGTGGTGCCTCGGTGGTGTTGGTGGTCTGTCCCCGTTGTTTTGTTAGTGCGTGTCAGGCGGCATTTACTGTTTCTGTCAAGTCCCCAAACAGCCTGTTCACACTTAAGGGGTTCTTACGGTAATAGGGAAGGCCTGATGTTGATAGAGCACAAAAAGTTTCTCGATCTTCCGCTTTTGAAGGAAGGCTCGCCCGAAATAGTGTTCGTGAGCTCTCTTGCGGAGGTGCGTTCTCGCCCGCGTGTCGCCCGTTTTTGGAGCTACGTACGTTCTTCGTGGCAGGCGCACGAGATTCATCATTTTTGGATTGTCAGGACCTCGTTTTGCGTCGAAAGTGAATCGAAATGAGGGGTGCTTTCGGAGGTCATTTTTCGTGGCAGGCGCACTATTTGGTGACCTTGGACGATGTTTTGAAATGCCCGAGAGTCTCGTTTTTTGAAACCGTCGTCATTTTTCACGCTCATCATTTTCAGGCGCGAGACTTCAGCAATATGCCGCGCAGAACTTGGCAAAATTCTAACATGTGCTCGTGCAACCGTCGCGTCACTTTGTGCATTTCAGATTGCCCTCGTTGTGGCGCAGTGCCCATTTTGACATTGCTTGCGCAACCCTCCCGTCGCTTTGTTAAAATCGCTCTGCTAGTGGCACGGTGCTGATTCTGCCCAACAGATCTTGTAATCACAGAAAATGCAGAAATTGTGAAGGATTTTTTTTTGTAGAGATCTTGCGCAGGGATCTTGACAAGAGATCGTTCATAGACACGTTGCCAGGGGACCTCCCAGAGATCTTGTGAAGAGATCTCTTACAGATCACTTACAGAGATACAGGGATCTGGCATGATTTGTCCACGTGCATTTCAACTGTATGTGCCCCTTTGTCTTTTGCGATTGTGGTTGTCAGCAGCCGCAACATGCAGATTGACTTGCGCAGTTTTTTCAATGAGCCACATAGCTTGGGTTCATTTTTCCCTCTGGAACATCCAAATTTCTTTTTGTCTGTATGTGAGCCAGAGATATTTTATAGAGATCTTGTACAGAGACCTTGTATAGAGATTTCTTGCAGAGATTTTGCCAAGAAGTCTCTTACAGAGATCTTGCCAAGAGATCTTTTAGAGAGAGCTTAAACAGAAGATTTCTTGCAGAGATCTTGGGTGGAATTTTGTTTCAGAGACCTTCTCCTTCAGCGATCTTGCCAAGAGACCTCTCATAGAGACATTGTGCGATCTTGTAAAGGGATCTCTTAGAGCGATCCCAAGAGATCTGAGACCTCTTGTCAACATCTCTCGTAGAGATGTTGCCACCGGATCTCCTACAGAGACCTCCTGCAGAGATCTTGTATAGAGATCTATTGCAGAGGTCTTGCCAAGAGGTCTGTTGCACAGATATTGCAAGGGAGATCTAAGAGATCTCTTACAGAGAGCCTGTAGAGAGATCTCCACGGATCTTGGCAAGAGACCTCTCATAGAGACCTAGTGGAGGGACCTTGTACAGAGTTCACTGACAGAGATGTGCCGCAAAGATCTTGGCGAAGGGAACCGACGCAGGATCTCTTCCCAAGGACCTTTCACAGATATCCTTTCAATGGATATTGCATAGGTGCTTCTACATGGTCACACCCGGATATGTGACTTTGGTTTTCACACCACTTTGTGCTGTGTTTCGCTGTGGTTTTGGAACATGCAGGCTTTTTTCATGGGTAATTATTTGGTATTCGCGGCATTCTTTGACTGGCAAACCCTCTATGTCGCTCAAAAGTAGTTTTTTTCATCTGCTCGCCTGTTGCTGTTGAAGTCGCATGGTTTTGCCCAGCTCTTTTGTTAAGTTGGCATGGCTGCCCAAATTGCATCTCAGACGTTACAAGAACAAGCTTACAGCATAGCATCAAGAGCGTGCTAGAAGTTCAGAGAACAAGTTGAGAGCGTATTATCAAAAGTGTCTTTGAAATTCCAAGAACAAGTTCGCAGCGTAGCGGCAAAAGCATGTTAGAAGTTCCAAGAACATGTTCAGAGCGTAGCATCAAGAGCGTCGTAGAAGTTACAAGAACAAGCACGGCATAAGACAAGAACGTCATTATTGCCAATAAATTATTGCCTCCTCCCTGCACCCCCCCACCCAACCCCCCCAACCCCCCCATTCCCCAAGACAACACGAACGTAGTAGAAATGTTGTAAAACGCACCAAAACGCCAAGGGCGCTTTTCAACGTGCCTCCATCTACATAGATCCTGTCAAGGAGGTTTTGCGGACGATCTTTCACAGGAGCAGAATCTACGCTGGCATCTCTTTGATTCTCTTTGTCGTGTTCCTTGCCAATGTTTGGGGTCTCTTGCCGGGCTGGTTTGTTTTTACGGGTAGCGCCATGACCCCATGTTTCGAATTACGAACTTGACGTGAACGGTGGTGTCTTACTGGTATCTTGGTGGTACTTCGGTGGTCTGTTGGTGATAATGCTTTGTTGGTACCTCGGTGGTTCGAGGGTCTTTTCACGAAAGCTAGCTTCTGCTAGTCTGCTTGCTGAAGTCCCTCTTGCTTCAGCAAGGTTTTGAGGGGGCTTGAATCTCCAATCGTGTGAAACTTCTTAGTTCACTATCCCCCCTCCCCAAGGTCCACTCCGATGCCGGAGGTGGACTTTTGAATCCTCCCCAATCACTGGTCATCATGTTGGCTATGCTGAATTTCCCATCCTCTTCATGCAACAATACATAATCACATGTTCTCATCCTCGTCCCCTCCAACATACATCGCCTCAATACGTAGGTCTGGATGTTTGCCTCACCAACACGTCCCAGCTTCAGACCCGCTCGTCCACGTTTTCGAAAAAACTGCGAAACTGCGCTGTGCCCTTTGTGTTTTCATGCCAAACTCCCTGCCAAGCTAGCTTTCGTTCCTTACCCCTGGGCCTCAATTGGTGGTCTCGGTGGTTGTGTTCTGTATGCTGCGGTGTCTCGTTTGATCAGGCATTCACTCTTTCTGTCAAATGTTCCATGGGCAGCGCCGCTGTCCCATAGTATGCCAGGCTCCATTGTGAACAAAACACGAAAGCAGAAGGCTTCGATGGTCGTTCGGTAGTCTCTTAGTAGTGTCGTGGTGGTGTTGTCTATCGTTGGTGGTGCCTCGATGGTGTCTCGCTGGTGGTCTTTTGGTTGTCTCTCAGTGGTGTGTTGCAGACGTCGTGTTGGATTGTTGCCGTGGTGTCCCGCTTCTTTTGTGAACATTTATCAAGAATTGACATGCAAAAAACAGTGAAACCTTGCTATTGGGTTTGGATCCACCAAAAGTTATCTTGATGCAATCAATCCAGGCTCAGCATAGGTTCCTATGCTTGACAGCTACTGGTGGGAGACGATTGTGTGCTGTCAAGAACAAAATCCCAAAAAAGAACGTTTCAAATGCACATCAAATCCAAGAATACGAAAGCAGCCGATTCGCCTAGTTTACTTGTTTTCTTATTTGTTTCTCCTCTGGTTGGAAACCTAATCAATGTCTTGGGGTGATGTTGCAGCTACTTTCAGCATCTTTCAGCTGTTTTGAGTGCAGCAGATATCGATTTGGGATCAGCTAATGGTATTTGCACAAGCCAGAAGTTGGCCTTCTTCCACAATTTTCACATGTCCCCATTCGAACAGAACGCATCCAAAATCATCCAAATCTATTCCTTCCCATGACTATGCCATTCTCCCATCCTTCATTGCAGTCCAAAAAACAAAACACATATCCAGACTCCAAACAAGGGCTGACACCCCTTCTATGAGAAACACTTCCTTGAAGAAAACACAAAAAAAGAGACAGTAAAACCAGACCGACAACCCTGATATCATTCCATGACCAAATGCCAGGAAGACTCTGATGTTCAGTATGATGCTGACGGCACTCCCTGGATCCAGATCTCCGGGACTGGTGTTGCAACAGACCTTCGCGTCGAGCGATTGGAGCAATTGCTGTCAACGGTCAAAGACCTCTACTCTGAGAAGTACGGCCGCGATGTCGATACAGAGTACGATGCAGATGGCACTCCTTGGAAAGTGACGGAAGGCACTGGCGTCCCTCGTGACTGCCGGGTTGAGCGCTTGGAGCAGAAGCTGGCAGAAGTGAAGCAACTTTACAAGCAGAAGTATGGCGAGGAAGTCGACCAGGAAGACACTGATGTTCAGTATGATGCTGACGGCACTCCCTGGATCCAGATCTCTGGGACTGGTGTTGCAACAGACCTTCGCGTCGAGCGATTGGAGCAATTGCTGTCAACGGTCAAAGACCTCTACTCTGAGAAGTACGGCCGCGATGTCGATACAGAGTACGATGCAGATGGCACTCCTTGGAAAGTGACGGAAGGCACTGGCGTCCCTCGTGACTGCCGGGTTGAGCGCTTGGAGCAGAAGCTGGCAGAAGTGAAGCAACTCTACAAGCAGAAGTATGGCGAGGAAGTCGACCAGGAAGACACTGATGTTCAGTATGATGCTGACGGCACTCCCTGGATCCAGATCTCTGGGACTGGTGTTGCAACAGACCTTCGCGTCGAGCGATTGGAGCAATTGCTGTCAACGGTCAAAGACCTCTACTCTGAGAAGTACGGTCGCGATGTCGATACAGAGTATAATGCAGATGGCACTCCTTGGAAAGTGACGGAAGGCACTGGCGTCCCTCGTGACTGCCGGGTTGAGCGCTTGGAGCAGAAGCTTTCAGAAGTAAAGCAGCTCTACAAGCAGAAGTATGGCGAGGAAGTCGACCAGGAAGACACTGATGTTCAGTATGATGCTGAAGGCACTCCTTGGAAAGTGACAGAAGGCACTGGTGTCCCTCGTGACTGCCGGGTTGAGCGCTTGGAGCAGAAGCTGGCAGAAGTAAAACAGCTCTACAAGCAGAAGTATGGCGAGGAAGTCGACCAGGAAGACCCTGATGTTCAGTATGATGCTGAAGGCACTCCTTGGAAAGTGACAGAAGGCACTGGCGTCTCTCGTGACTGCCGGGTTGAGCGCTTGGAGCAGAAGCTGGCAGAAGTAAAACAGCTCTACAAGCAGAAGTATGGCGAGGAAGTCGACCAGGAAGACACTGATGTTCAGTATGATGCTGAAGGCACTCCTTGGAAAGTGACAGAAGGCACTGGCGTCCCTCGTGACTGCCGGGTTGAGCGCTTGGAGCAGAAGCTGGCAGAAGTAAAACAGCTCTACAAGCAGAAGTATGGCGAGGAAGTCGACCAGGAAGACCCTGATGTTCAGTATGATGCTGAAGGCACTCCTTGGAAAGTGACAGAAGGCACTGGCGTCTCTCGTGACTGCCGGGTTGAGCGCTTGGAGCAGAAGCTGGCAGAAGTAAAACAGCTCTACAAGCAGAAGTATGGCGAGGAAGTCGACCAGGAAGACACTGATGTTCAGTATGATGCTGAAGGCACTCCTTGGAAAGTGACAGAAGGCACTGGCGTCCCTCGTGACTGCCGGGTTGAGCGCTTGGAGCAGAAGCTGGCAGAAGTAAAACAGCTCTACAAGCAGAAGTATGGCGAGGAAGTCGACCAGGAAGACACTGATGTTCAGTATGATGCTGAAGGCACTCCTTGGAAAGTGACAGAAGGCACTGGCGTCCCTCGTGACTGCCGGGTTGAGCGCTTGGAGCAGAAGCTGGCAGAAGTGAAGCAGCTCTACAAGCAGAATTATGGCAAGGAGGTTGATGAGAACGACGAGATGTTTTCTGGCGACTTTACGTACGACTCCGATGGGACTCTGTGGATCAAGTCCACTACCACAGGCATCGAGCTTCTAAATTGTTTCCAAAGCATTGTTAGGGCTTGATTGGTTTCTTCATGCTTGCTGTTGCGTGGGGCTGACATTACATGATTTCGACTGTTTTCCACTGATTTCCATCATTCTGCCTGGATTGGGTTCACTATGCTGCCTTGGGATTTGCAGGTCCGCTGCATTCACTTCCGTCAGAACATGCCCTCGGAGAGATGCTGGAAGAGGCTTGGGGCCTTGGGGCGGGAGCTGGGTATCCTGAAGCGTTTGAAGCGGCTCAAAACAACAGACACGACAGACACGACACGACAATTCATTTCTGAATTCATTTCTGAAAGCCAGGTAAAGGACCTCTACCAGAAACGTGCGGGTCCTGGGTCCCATGATTTGTTTTGAGTCCAGTCACTTTGCCAACGATTCATTTCTAATGTGACTTGGAGTTACCGCGCGATCTGCGAGTTGGCCCTTGTCTCAGGCTTTGGAAATAAGGCTGATGAAGCGCAGCCGTCGCAGTCATCATGGAGCGACAAGGATGTGGCAGACACAAGCTTCTGTTAAGTCTGCAGCCAGGATAAGGGGGAATTTCTATCAATTCAATTTTGCATATATGTAGCACCACTGTGAAAGTGGCACGCGCTGTCGTTTGCCGGAGCTACTGTCGTGGGATCAATCAACCCCCCAAAACTCACCACCCTGAATGGTTGACCTATGTTGACCAGTTGACCCAACATTTACACACTTGACTAGACAAGATGAATAGGATTACCTTAGTTGCCCTAGGTCCTTGGCAAACAATGGTGCCTGCTCGTAAAATTTGATCACAGTAGTTAGAGACTTTGAAGAGAGATAACGATAATTCTTTGCTTTGTGCCAACAGCGACTTGCACTTTGGAGACTGGAGGACGGAACTCCATGGGTTGAGATTACCGACAATCAGCCTGCTAGTAGTCAGGCAGGAAAAGGGCTGCCACCGCTCAAATCATTCTCTAACTTACACCAATCTAAAGCTATCATTTCATGTATTTTGTACCCATGCCTATATTACTGTATATACATAATTATTATTCAGGCGCACGCACACACACACAGAGAGAGAGAGAGAGAGTCACACTTTCTATTTGGGTTTCAAGCGGGTTGTGCCCTCGAATTCCACGATATCAAATTCCCAACTGCAGGGCACTACTTTCAAAGGAACCTGCAGCTTGCAGCAACTGGGATGCAAAGAGGATCTGTTGACCAGTCTTTCAACATTTCCTTTACTTCTTGCTCTTGTTGGCTGGAATTTAATTGCATCATTGTCTCAGCATGAGAGGTTTAGAGAATTGCCAACCCACTGCGTCACTACAGCACCCATACGCGGCTTTTTCCAACATCCTGAGGTAGAGAGCAAGAAGGAAATGGATGGAATTGTGGCTTGGCAATGTTTTGGCAGCAGAATTGTTCCTGTTTTCTCAGTCGCAGCGCAGCGGCTGCAGTTGAATCATTTGAATATTTACTTGACAGGTTGGCTTTGCAGCTGAGGAGAGATGGAGATATGACAGGAGGATTTGGGCGCTTACAGAAAGCTGGTATCACACCTAGCACGGGTCTATGGCCCGCGGAGACATGACAGATGCTTTCAAGCTCAGTGTGTCCTTCTTGATGTTGTGTGCCCGCCTAACATGAAGCACGATGCTCAGGGAATGTTGTTTTTATTTGTTTGTTGCAGAGGAGCAAAATAGTTAGGGATTTTTCACATGTGTCACATTACAAAATAGCAAACTAGAGCAAAATCGTCCAGGTGGCCTTGGATGGTCCGCCTGAGAGCGCATTCAGCGAGCCCATGACTTGAGACAGGTGGTACTTAGATTGGATTCATCCAAGATTGTATTCTGTCCAGCCTGGCAATCCTCCTGGTTGAGGGAAAAGGTGATCACTAAAGATGCAAAAACACATTTGAACCTATATAGCTATTTTTTCAAGCTTGCGTTGGACCGCCAGGAAATTTGATCCGGTATTGCTTAGCTGTCATTCTTGAATTGGAAGGCAGCCTCTAGTTTCAGAGAAGATGCTGGCAGAGATTCAACGACAATTTCCGTTTTGCCAATGACAAGATTCAGACAGGTCTTGCATTTTGCACTCCTTCCAGCCTGTTGATCTGTCTTTTTCCAACTACAATTTCAGCATATTTCAGCTCCAAAGCCAAAGCTCGTGAGTCCTGTCGCACCTCGCTAACATGCCTGTTTTAGTTGGCACTTTAAAGGATGGACCCTGTCCATTCTATTGTTCTGGCCCTGCAGGGTCAAAGCCTGCCAGGCACAGTCTCTGGCAGCTTGGTTTAAATGTGCTCACCCACAGTGGCTTCATCAACGTGTGGCCGGTATTTGAACATTTGAAAAATCGATAGGCTATAGATCTCGGCATGCTGGACTCGACTTGGTTGTGATATGCGGACATTATGCAGCATCCAAGAGCTATTTTCCTTGATGTACAGAGAGCGGGCCAGCAGTCGTTGCACGATTGATGCCGTGATGGTTGTTTGATGCTGTAATGAATCAAACTTCCACGCGTTGTTGGTTTCAAGTTGCCAGCTTCCTCGACGTAAATCGCAGTCAATCCAAGACAATCTATGCTAACTACAGCAGATGAATGCAATTGATACATCAAAGACAAAGAGATGCGAATTGCGTTTCGGCAACCACAGACCGAATAGCCAGTGAGCAAATCAAGAGCCAAGCTGATATTTTGTTCTTTGTTTGCAATCAACATGACAAGCTTTGACGAGCTATCTCCATCCATGTCGACACCTTACTTGACCTAGCGTTCAATGATATCGTGGCCTCATCAGTGCTGAGACTGGCTGTGGTGTTTCATGCTTGGATGTGCCGGATCGGACAGTGATGCTGGAGCTACTTGTAGGGATTCTGGGACCAAACATGTCCTGGAGTAGAGCTGAGTAGATACAGAGTAGACTCTACACATCAACGTGACCCGGCCCAAGTTGAATTCATCAACTTCGATCATTTTGTTCAGGTCTAAGGTTTCATGAATTCGCATGCAATCATGAAAGACGCCTTTGCTGCCATGTCATGAGGGAAACATGTGCTTTTGCGTTTTTTGCGTTCGCAAGCTCTAACAACAGTGTAGTATGTCTAGCCTAGGCCACCATGAGCGTTGCTACTTTACCGCCTTCCCCATCCACCAAAAACGTAGCTAAGTTTCAACTGCACGAAGCCGAAACTTCAATGTGCCGATACGCAATGACATACAATTTCTGAAAAAATGATATGATCTGATCTGATTATATAATGATATATACCTTAAGCAACCAAAACCTTAAAAAAACAAGGGTTTAGGAAAAAACCCATAAATTTCCCCAAAAACCAGGTTTTCGGGTTTAGCAATTATTTGGGGTTTGGTCGCCTCAGGTGAACAACTGCATCATGCGTGCCTGCAATAGCACATTGCAACAAACTGTCGTTTTTCCGCTGATTCGACCCCATCAGCTGATAATGTACCCCGCATTGCACCATTCTTGATGGGCCTTTGTTAAATATCGGAGGATGACTCTTTCAACCACCGTGCTAGCATGTACCCTTCGGGCAGTTCTGCTAGCCTTGCCTATGAAATCCTCCGACAACTGGGTTGCGTAGATCAACGGGTTGATCACATACGGCTGCCGATGGCCTGCCAAAAAAAGATCAACCAAAAAGGCATGGTGTAACTGATGGTGTTTCGGTACGAACATGTACAGCACCTTCCCTTGTCGGTATGCTTCCTTTGCGAGCTTGTCGTAAGTGGCCAAAAAGTGAAGCCCAAGCTCTCCGAGCTCAATGGCAGTGGCACTAGGAATCCAAGCATCCAGTTCGTACAGCTGTGCAAAGAACGAATTGATGCAACCGCAAGCTTCCTTTTGCAATTGGTAAAGCACGTTCTCCGACAAATCCGCATCTTGATTCCAAGCATTGAGCCATCTCAGAAGCACTGTGGTTGCAGCACCTTTGGACCATATAGCTGAAGGCATCTCATTTGTGCTTGGCCACAAGATAGTTTCCTTGCAAATGTAGCTCAAGTATGCAGTTTGCCCATTGGCCTTGCACCAGTCCAAATAGTTGGATGATAGGCTTTCAAAACGAGCATCTTTGGACCGTCCAGGAAACAGGTCTGACACCAATGCCAGCGTGCTGGCAACAAAAGTTTTGCCAACACCGAGCGTGAAACCATGCCAAATGTCGAACTGAAACATTGCTTCTGGCTTCTGTCTCAAGCACATCAGGCGTGTGAAAGCTGGCACCGACTTGAACCCAGATTCAGTATGCATGGTTGGAAGCCAGAAAGGGTTCCGCGTTCCCAACTGTTCGAAAGGGTAATCACGTTGTCCTGCCCGACACAGGTGGCATATACCTTTCGGTTGCTCTTGCCTTCCAGTCTGCCCCTTGCCTTTCTCACAGTTGTAGTAACTGCGGGCCAATCGGCCACATTTGACCAGGAACTGCCAGTCTCCAGTGACTGCTATGCAAATCATCCAGAAACGTTCTCCAGATCTGGTGTCAACCACCCCATGCCGGCCAACGTCGTCAGCACAATTTGCTCCGAAGTTGAAAATGTCTTGCGCAGATTCATCATCCTTTCGGTAAAGGTGCTTTGGCAAAACGCAGGAAAGCATGTGCGTGGTGTAAACCGACCCAACATAATTGCATTTTTGTTTGATGTAGTGCTGGGAAACACCTTTTGCCTTCGAAGCTCTCAAACCAGGTGCCAATCCCCTGCCAAGGCAGGACTTGAAACTGGTGACGAGGAATGGTTGCTTTTTTCTGCCACGTCCTTCATCGCCATGGTATACTACTGCAGCTGCATTCGACAGTTGTATTGTTCCTGCCCTAGCCAGCGAAAAAACTTCATGCTCCGGCTGTGCTTTTTCAAATTTAGCCCAAAAATCAGACCAAATCGCCTTTTCACGGCTTGGATCAGGCCGAAGTAGACCGCATAGCATGTGCCAGCAGTTCCGATGAAGTAAAAAGTGACACCAGTCTTGTAGCTTCAGTCCTTTTATCCCTTGAGGCTTGTCAGGGCGAATGGGCACCAAATTCAAAGGAAGTCTCAAATTGTATCGGCTAAAGAACCTATGGGCATCCCGCTCTGCATTGCCCTCACTGCACTCCGAGAAGCTCACAAGCCCACCAGAAGCATTTGCTGCAGCTTTGCCAACATCAGCGACAATGTTGCGAGCCGTTCGAACGGCCTGCCTGCTAGCAGCCTCGGATGTGTAGGGCTACCATCGGAGAAGTGAAAGGTTCAGGCTACCACACCTTAAGCGACCAAACCCCCTAAAATTACTTAGTGATACTGAGTGTTTACCCCATACTTAAAACAACATACCCCGAAAATTAAATTTGATAAGCGGCTGTCACTGTGCA